ACCCCAATCAATGTTGTTTAAACCAAAACACATCAAACCCGACGAGAAATGGGACACAACATTGAACAGGGGGCGGGGGGATTGTCGTTTGTTGAAATTCAAAGGTTTTGTGGCATCTGTCCCAAGACTTTTGAAACTGATTGTAGGCCTACGATATTTCGTAGCTTTCTCGCACACGCACAAATATAATATATAGTTTCGACGGCGGTCAACCGTGATGTATTAATTGTTAAAGTTTCGAGCGATGCAGATAAGAGAATATTAAAGGTGTCTAAAGCCATCCCACCGGGCACACGACGTTGTTTCAACGTTGAAATTTGGTAGAAAAAAGGTTGCGACGTCGACAACATAATATCTACGTTGCTCTGACGTTGTTTTACAAACATTGGTTCAACAGCAGCCAACAGACGTTGAATTAACGTTCATTCATGGTTAAATGTACGACGTCGATTTGTGAACCAATCTCAACATTGTTTTAACGCGTGGATTCAACGTTGAATTATGGTTGACGAGATTGGCAACCTAATGTCAACGTTGTTTCAACGTCGAAACAGTAACGTCGATCCAATTTGCATAGTCAACCCTTTTTCAACGTCTATACAACGTCTGGAAGGTCATTTCCAACGTTGATTGAACGTTGGATAAACGTCATTTTGCCCGCTGGGATCACTTCAGAGAGAGCAAGTCCTGTTCATAAGACATAGGCATTTACAGCAATTCTCTCCTGGCACTAAATTATTAGCTACAAAATCATGAAGAAAAAATCTATTTGTCGTCGATGAATTGATGAAAACGTACACGCTTGTGAAAGAGACGCTGCGAACAGACAGCAATCCAACGAGGACACCAAAGTCTCTAGAGCATCGTCAACCAAGTTCGTAAATACCTTTATTGCTGAACCGTAAATCCTGGCCTTTAAGCTCTTTTGAATGCAAAACTCAAAGAAACGCCTCTCAATAATACGTCCGCCTTGTTTGCTTGAATTTTAGCATAAATTAGCATATTTTTTCATTTTGAACCAATCAGATTTCTCGTCCTCTGAGAGAACGAGTAAATACGGCAAAGCATCAGGTGCAGGCTGTCCTTTCTCTGATAGCCGTTACGCAGACTAATTAAAATATGGTTTTGGCTTTCTGCCGAAATATTAGTTGGATTGTTTCAACAGAAAAAACGTATGAAACTTCTGGGTTTCTTTTCACACACATACACTCGATCCCCACCCAACCTCCATTTCAATGGCATCGTGAAATAATAAACTTTGTATTTATAGAGAATTGTGTTGTTGATTACATGCCATTGTTGGGAGAATCTGGACAAATTTCCTCAATGAATCGTTCCTGTGAATACAACATTAACTATTCTACTCCAATACAACTGACATTCAAACTTAACAGCTTTGTCCCCCAGAACAGCAGCATTAATGTGTTACAAGGAATCAGAAGTTTATATAGGTTTAAATCTATTGCAAATATCACTTCGAAAGATTCTGCGAAGACGAGATATTTCTGCAGAAATAGGGTGTTTTCAGATTATGATGTGATAACCATTCGTACTAATGCAGGAAATATGTGGTCTCATCTGACTTTCACGCCCTTTATTTCTGGTAAGTTTTCCTAGTGTTACCGTGATTATTAGTGAGACAGTTCTTGGAAGCAAATTAAGAAAATAATGATATATCAAAACCGTTGAAAGGTTTGTGTTGCACGATTAAAACCACAACTTTTACGGGACCTAGTTTGGAGTCGTCAGTAATTATCGATAATTCATTACATAGTCGTATTCTTTTTTCTGCTCTGCCCCACGCCCGCTGTCGCACAGTTATTTTGGATCGCATTACTAAATATATACAGGGTATTTAAAAAAATGGATAAAGATCGAGTCATAGGAATAATGGTGTAAGACATATGAACAGTATTGAATTTTGATGATGCATCTTTCTTCAAATAATTAATTTTACATGTACTTTATATTATAAAAAAACTAATATTTTTTCTAATTTGCCTATTTGAACATGCAAGAATGTAGGTGTTACCATCTTTACTGATTCTTGAACCACAAGTTCCTGGTTATTTTTACTCGTCTTATTATTAGCATGACAAAATTACTGGATGCTGATTGGTTGAGAGGGGTACAATTATTTTATTAATTGTATTGCAGTACAATTAATGATTTTCCCAAAACAAACAAAGTGGTGGAAAGGTATTTTGAACACAAATGGGGAATGAATTTGCCCTTGATGAACTAAATGAAAATACGAACAAAAGTACCAAATTTTGGTTGAAAGTCAGGCAGGACTGGGCTTTGACGAGAGAATATGATCGTGACGGAGAAGTATCCAATTTTGTCATGCTAATAAAAATCATTTGATTTTTATTAGCATGACAAAATTGGATACTTCTCCGTATTCGTACAATTAGGGATTAATAGTACTAGTGATGTTTGGAAATTTTCCAAATTGGACTCGCCAAGACTGCTCGTCCAATTTTGGCAAAATTTCCAAATATCGCTTGTTCTATTAATCCCTAACCTTGTACTCGCCATCGCATGAATACCTACACTGTAAATTAAAAAGGGCTGAAACGACCCAAAAAATGGGGGCAAAACGGTAACCGCAAAATAGATCTTTTGGGGGTGAAAATGGCACCTATAACAATGCGAACTCTAAGGGCTGATTTGGCCCTTCCATTGTAAGGGCTGTTTTAGCTTTTAGTAGGAGCTGTTTTAGCAAAAGCAGGGAGAAGCAAAGAAGAGCTGCTTTAGAGCCGAAGGAGCTAATATAGTTTTTTTCATGGTGTGGTTTGTAGCACCTAAAGGGTCGATTTGGTTCGATTTCAGAGCCATTGTAGACCCAAACAAAAAGCCAATTTAACCCATACTTTGTTAACCGGAGCTCTTCCGTCCCTTTCAGAGAAGAGCAGTCTTATTGGCCGTTGGATGAGGGTCGAAAATGTTCAATTCCGTAGCACTCCTCGTGTAACTACATACTTTTTACATGAATGGATAGATTAGAACTTACTTAGTTAGAATCCACTTCCCCCCAAGCGAAATAGTTACCAAATTGAAGTATAACCTCTCTAAAGTACAGGCTTCTTCGAAATTCGTGAACCGCCATTGTTGTGTTGCAAATACGCATGCGCTTGACCACAAACACTTAATGCGCACGCTTAGATTGGAAAAACTGATCTCAATCCAGGACTGCATAAACCTGGATCACAAAAAAATTATGAAATGTGATATATAGTACATGAGAGCAACGTCAATATAATCCAATGTCAAAGAAATTTAAACCTTTAGTCAAGTTTTAATGACATTAGCCGCAGGTTCACACTTCACGGAAAACATTCTCTCAAACACTCTCTCTTATATTTATCATCAAAGGTCAAGTACGATGTATACAAACACTAACAGTACAAGTCGGTGCGCCTTCAAGCTCGAAACGTCGAAGTTCTCCTACGTATTTTTCAGGTAGTTGTATCCCCGTCAATCCGAAGCTTTCGTTCATATTTCCCCCAGAATTTTTAGTTGCTTTCAATCGATTTCCGTGTAAAAAGTATCAAATTTTCGACGAGAAATTCTAAATACTTTGTTTTATATATTTTGTAACAATTGCTGAGCATGCATTGAACTCACGTTGGAAATCCAACGTAGCCTACTATATGCCGCTAGCCAATCACCGGCCTGAATCAATTCGAGCTATGCAAACTATTAACCTTCGAAGGGCATGCTCGAGGTACGAGATTGCGTTCAGCACAGCACACACAGACATAAAACTTATAAAACTTATTTAAATATATAAAGACGAAGCTGCATGGACATCATGGAAGGCGAGGCCATGCAAGCTTTCTGTTATTTGATAAATAATAATGGCCCTTAATTAAAGTAAAAAAAGTATAAATAATAATGGCCCTTAATTGCCCTATAATTAAATTTGTTTCAACACAATCAAGGCCGTTTTCCACTTCTATTTCATCGCACAGAAGCGTAGCGTACCTCTTCGTTTCCTGAGCACTCGAATGGAACTAATGACTTCGATACAAATGAAAAAGCTACAACATGTTAGGATACGGTTGTAGTATCGTCCGTTACATGTTTGTTTACTTCATGGTTAGATCTGTCGGCATGCTCAAGAATTTATAATAATTATATTAATTAAAAATTAAAGTGTAAGTTTATATTTGCAGTTTCAATGAAATGGTTATCCAGAGCATTTTGTGCTTTCTATTATTAAAATGGTTGTTTATTAAAACTAAACTCAATATTATCAGAAATTAACAATATACTCACTCGCAACTGGCTCTTTAGATAATCTCTAATCCTTTAATCGTGTTGAATTTTTTCCATATCATTTATTTTTCAAGGAAGAAAAGTAATCCTTTATTGTTCTAATGGGTCTCTTGTCTCTCCATATTATCCTGAATCTTACCTGAGGGACATCGAACAGATTTATTATGTGATAGTCCCCGCTGGACACGTGATACTAAATTTCACTGAAATCCGCTTGTTTAGTGGACAATACTCCGACGACTCTGTGACGATCTATGACGGAAATAATACCTCGAATGAACTTATTATTGGCAACTTTCAAGGCAGCATTCCAGTGGATAGCCCTGCATGGTTTGTTGGCTCCAGTAATACCATTACCGTTAAATTTTACTCCGGAAATGATACCGTTTCAAATAGGACGTTTCGGTTTAACGCAACTTACACTATGAATATCACTGAAGGTATGTTTTATTTTGTCTGAAACAACTGCAAAATAATAGCCTACAGGCTGGATATATACTCCCCAAGCCAACGGCGCGGATCGCCGTTCCGGGCGTAAGCCCGGGTCGAGGGTATTAAATCCGCCCGGCTATTTACGCCCGGGAAAACGAAAGCATCAGCGATCGAAATCTGAAATTCATCAATGATCGAGGGCGTGGGCGACCAACGGCACAGATTAATTTAAGAGAACCAGATGACCGACTTCAGTCAAAAAAGCGTATTGTTCACTGCGCATGGCTTACTGCGCATAGCTCAGCAAGTGACCAGAAGTATTCACCCCACCCCAACCCAACCTACCCCACCACCCCCACCCCACCCCCACCCGACATTAAATTTCAAAATGGCGACAACAATTTTATTTAAAGACAACAAACATGAAAATAATTTGTTTCGTAAAACGTTTTGATTACAAATGTTCTCTGTTCAGAGGTTAATTGAACCATGTTTGATGGACGTTCTTATTGAGTTACTGACTCACTAAGACGAGATCGACGACTTGAGCTCATTTTAGATAATGTAACATTCAATTTTAATTCCTTCTTGGGATCGGAATTGTCTGTGGTTCGTTTTCCATGCAATTCCCAACGATGGAAGAATGTGATTTCGACCGGCAATTTTTATTTGACGAGCATGTGGCCATTTCTTATCGTTACGATTTAAAGAGTATCATTGAAAAGCTAAATAACTGCTCTTTTGTCTTATGTAAAAATTTAGTTGTTTAGCCACGTTTATGATGTACGACAACCTGTTGATTTTCCATAGCTTTTTTTTAGACACCCTTTTTCCTAATACTATTTTACTGTATCATATACTTACAACTTGTCAGGCCTATTTAACCCATTAATCGCATTGCGCCCTAATGCACTCTACTTTATTGTTCACTCTATCTAACGCCAGACGATATTACTCGTCAAGGAGACAGCGCTGGCAGCCTGGCACTTAATCGTTAAATGTTAACAGAATTAACTAGTATAAAAAATACAATCGAACCTCAAATTAAGTGGCCACTACTTTGATATGTGGCCATTCAATGGAATGTGGCCACTTAAAGGATGGCTGCTTAATGGAGGTTCGTGTATAGAAGTCTCATATTGGCCTATAGAAGTCTCATATTGGCATATATATATATATATATATATATATATATATATATATATATATATATATATATATATATATATATATATATATATATATATATATATATATATATATATCAGTATACTGTAACCACAAAGCTATTTTAATTAAGGTTGTGACCGACAATAGTTTGATGTACAATAATATGATTGCTAAATGAATAATGGGAATAATGAGAATAATGATAGATTTAATAAATTAACACTTCAAATATTTTATAATTATTTGTTTGGTATTGATGTGTTAAAAAAAGATCGTTTTTTTAGCTTTTGATTGTACATTTAACTATTGTCTGTGACACTAACTTTACATAGAGTAGCTGTATATTATTATAATAGGACAAATGCAAGTTGTGCATCTAATACTTTCAAGGTAGGGTGGTCTAGGTAGCCTGTGCTACAGCCGTACAGTATTCACAGTCATAATTCCTCTTCATTTTCAGATGTGTCTACTGATAGTACTAGGTCAATATTTCTCTTGTGTTTGTTTAGTTTATCATGAAATACAGCATTGTTTAATGTTGCTGTTAATGTATTTGATAATGTATCGGTGAATCCTTTAAGAAAATGATCATTGATGCTTGTAAATGGTTTCAATTCCAAGAGATGACATAACGACTTAATTCCTACAGCTACTGTATGTAGAAGTTGTTTAACATTTCTGCAATCCCTCCAGTCAGTCTACTTAACCATTCCAACCACTTGGGTGTTTTTTAGCCCCATTCTTTGAATTGATGTTAATTTTGGACGATTCTAAAGTCTGTCGTCACACGCAAGAATCCCACAATATACAATATCTGCCAAACGAAGCAAGTTTTTATTTCGCTAATCTTGTTTCTGCACTTCACTTGGTAATATTAAAATGCTGTTTTTAGGGTTTATATTCACTTGGATTACAAACCATAAAACAGAATTCTTCTATTGCGCTAGCAATACGAATAGTTTTTTTCAATACTTCTTGTCGAAAAAATACCACAACAAAGGCGACACTTCATTGCAAAAACAAAACGGATTTCGGACAAATCATCTTTGGAGTTTTCTTTTGCTGTGCCATAGCTTGAGAGCTACTGCATCACTTTGTATAAGGGTGCATTCGACCTTTATTTTCTTTGCGTTAATAAATAAACGGCTCCACTTCAAGGTGTAATACAGACCTCCAACTATGCAAATTATAGCAAATATGACTAAAAAGCTTTCAAGTGGTGACATATTTCTTAAAAAATAACACAAAAACCGAAAAACCCCAAAATTTGGGTTAATAGAGAGCGTAAATGGCCGTGTTTTCCATACAGAGAGTGTAGATGTTTTCATTTTCGCTCTTGGGCATTCCTGCCTTTTGTAGCAATTCCCCTACCATTTTTCCCTATGTGGCAAGGAGACGGCAATTCGAATTACCCCTACAGTACCACTCAGAATTAACCTAACAAAAACCGCGGTTTAATCTCGGTTGAACCTCGGTTTGACTGCGGTGTGACCGCGGTGATTTAAAGGTTTGACCGAGGTTAGTCCGCGGTAATTTTGAGGTTAAACCGCGGTGACCGTGAGGTTTGACGAGGTTTGACCGCAACCGAACCGAACCGATCCGCAAGCTTCGTATATACTCGTAATAGCATTCGTAAATATTCGTGTATTTCCGAAGGGTCATTATAAAAACTCCGTGTGTGCTTTATAAATATTGACATATTTTGTAAACATTGAGGCATGGGGCGGTTGTCGCTTTATGCCAGGGAGCGAATTGTCTCCTTACTTTCGACAAATACTTCAGTTGTTGGAATAACTAAGAGTTTAAACGAAGAAGGCATAAAGGCGTCGCGATCCGCTGTAAATTTATTTATTTCATGTCGCTTTCGCAATACTGAAATTCTTCACGATGCCCCACGTAGCAATGCATGTGCATTTTGTTTCGGCTTAAATAAAGGAACTTATAAGCTTGCCTCGTCAATATATGCAAGTGTTTATAAACAAAAAAAAACTCATCCAAGTAAGGCTCAAAAACTCCTACCCAAATTTTGAACAAAAATCATCAGACAGCAATAAAATAGCGCTAAAATAGGTCTCTTTTTGTTTATTACAGTTTAAATAGATGTTTTAGAATAAGTAAGAATTTGGTGCGCGCATCAACTTAAATTAACTTTCCTCTTTAATATTATGAAGGCTAAAGGTTATAAAGCGTGTACCTAAAATGTAAATAAAATCTCGGTCTTTTGGGCACACACGTTATAACCTGGAGCCTTTATTATAAAACTTTATTATAATTGACAATCTAGCCTTTATTATAAAACTTTATTATAATCGACGATCTGCTGTAGCCCTTATTATAATTGACGCTGACACCACAGCCTTTAAGTTTTCTCTTAGCTGTTATATTATAGCCCGAGTTAGCATTTTATTATTGAAGACATTCTATACCGTGAATATTTTACTGCTTTTGGTCGGAAAACCTCGGAATCAGAATGCACTATTAAACCGCGGTTAGCTTCTTGCCGATGCGTGGGTTAACCGCAAAAAAACGCCCGATAACCGCACGTTACCCGCACGTTAACCGCCCGTTAACCGCCCGATAACCGCACGTTAACCGCAGGCTAACCGCAAAACGACCGCAACCGCAGTGTTAGGTTAATTCTGAGCGGTACTGTAAGATCTGGGGGTTCACATGACCAGAGGGGAACCAGGGTCTTCGCTGTTGCCCAGCGCAGGTAAAAAACCCTGGCTTGCGAGATTGCCTCCTCTTCTTCCGCTTTACTCCCAAACACGCTCCAGCAAAGCTGGTCACATCAACCCCCAAATCTGACGTGTCTTGAATTAAGGCCCCGTATGCTTATTAGGGAGGAGTGGCTGAGTAAGACATAATCTTTCACAGTTGACAGTAAATACATGCATTGCTAACGGATCGTAATGCGAAATACTGTATAAAGGTATAGCCAAAGATACTCCAAAACAAACTAAAGGCAATAAATCAAGCAATTCAGATATCTACTGTAGATCTCTACAGAGTTCTGTATTTCAAACCTAGGAAAACTTAGTTCTCAATATGTTGTACAATTACAGCAGAGGACTACAATTACGATTACGATTACGGTACAGGGAGCAGAAGAGTCGAATTTATCTAGTAAAACAAGACAAACGCCGTCTTACCTTGTTAATTGTATTATATTCCAAGTCAGTGCAGTAAAAATTCATAATAATTCATCAACATGAACGAATATAAACCAAACTATTTACCAAAATGTGATTTTCAATATTTTTACGTACTCTGCCACCTTGCATTACTGTAGTGTAGTTAGTAGACTGGTGACGTATGACGTCACCATAGTAATGTATATAAGCGTGTGGTTATTCTTTATTAAAGGCATTATTAGTACATAGCAGTGACTTACGACACTACATATTGGCGGCGAGGATGTGGGCCAACGAGAATTGTAGAAGAAATGGCTGAACGCGTATTGCCACCGCCCTCTAGATTTAACCCGGAAGCTTCTGACTTGTTTACTGAGTGGCAGCAATGGTTGAACGCTTTCAAAATCTATGCCACAGCGACAGAACTCGTCAAGAAGTCAGACGAAATTCAAGGAGCGACACTACTGAATTGTTTTGGACCAGCTACACGGAGAATCTTCCAGACATTCCCTGGTGATAAGAAAGCTTGCAAGGAAGCTGAAGCCGTTCTAGAGAACTATTTCGCTCCGAAGCGAAACGTGGTGAGCGAGAGATATCGTTTCAGATGTCGTGCTCAACGGCATGACGAACCAATAGACTGTTATGTTGCAGCACTACGTGAACTCGCTAAATCCTGCGAATTTAATGAACTTGAAAGCGAAATGATTAGAGATCAGATAGTAGAGAAGTGCTATTTGAAGAAACTGAAAGAACGTTTGCTTCAACAGGACACTCTTGATTTAAATAAGGCTGTTGGAATCGCAAAAACAACGGAGAGTGCAGAGCAAGAAATCCAGCTGATGACTGGAACGAAAGAAAACCCCATAATATTGAATCGTTTGAACTGAACCGGCGGTAAAGGCAAGTTTTGCAAAGCAAAGAAAGACTTTTCCTGTTTCAGTTGTGGGGCAAAGATGGTCACACTGCAGACAAGTGTGGAGCAATCTCGCTGAATTGCAGGCAATGCGGAAAGGTGGGACACCTTGCTCGTGTTTGCCGTTCGAATTCGTCAGACCAACGACGAAGTAGCTCCGAGAAACCAAGAGGAAATAAGAAGCATCAGAAATCGAGAAAGATTTGGGCTATAACATCCAAAAATTGGTTGCAAGAATCTACATCAGAAGATGACGACTTCGAACCGGTCCATCGCCTGAACAGTAAAGATAGTTCTGTTCAAGTAGCCATAAATGAGCATGCAGAAAGTTACAATGGTAGTGGACACTGGAAGCAAGCAGAACATGATATCATCCAGATTTTACAAAGCTCTGTTCAGAAACTGTGAGCTGAAACCAACGAAGAAGAAGTTCATCGCTTATGGGCAACAAACGCCATTGAACTGTTTGGGTTGTTTTCAAGCTTCAATGCAATCAGGTATAAGCAATTATGTAAATGCTAGAATATATGCTATTAAGGGTGAAGCCGAGTCATTGCTTGGTAGAGAATCTAGTTTTAGTCTTGAAATAATTAAACAAATTAAAGTAGAGTATAATGACAGTAATAATAATGCAAAGAAAGACACTTGCTCTAGCGAAAAGTGTAAGAATGAAAGTATTGAGTCATTACTGCATGAATTTAGTGATATATTTCAAGGTGTTGGTAAGGACACTGATTATGAGCATACAATTCAGCTCGACCCCGAGATCGTACCTGTAAGCCAAAAACTTCGAAGATATCCTTTAAGTCAAATTGAAGCGGTGAACAATGAAATTGACAAAATTTTAGAAGCAGATATTATCAAAGAAGCACCAGTTAGTCCGTGGGTATCTAATATTGTTGTAGTATCCAAGCAAAATGGAGATATCCGAGTGTGCTGCGATTATAGAGATGTTAACAAAGCGATAATTAGGGAACGTTACATATTACCTAAGGTAGAAGACACATTAAATGCAATGCACGGTTAATTTAAACTCTTCGCTAAAATAGATGCTAGAAGCGGGTTTTTTCAAATAAGTTTAGCCGAAGAATCTAGGTATGTCACAACTTTTATAACCCCTAGGGGATGCTATAGGTTTAAACGTTCGCCGTTTGGTTTAAGTGACATGAGTGAATTCTTTCAAAAGAAGATGGAACAGATTTTATTTGGCATAGACAAAGTTGAAATTTCTATTGACGACGTAATTGTTCATGCGGAATCTATGCACGAGTTATAGTTAAACGACTGAGGCTTGTTTTCGAAAGGTTTCGTGAGCGCAATTTGACCTTGAATCGAAGTAAATGTGAGTTTGACCTAAAAGAGATTACAGTATTAGGGCATCCTTCGCCAAAAAACATAACCGAAAGATCGTTTTTAGGAACTTGCGGTTATGTGTCTAAATTTATTCAAGATTATGCTAACATTGTTGAGCCATTAAGGAACCTCACTCGTAAAGAAACTAAGTGGGAGTGGGTTGAAGGTCAAGTAAAATCGTTTAAGTTATTGAAACAGGCTTTAAGTAGTGAGCCGGTATTAGCATGTTTTTCAATGGTAAACCTATTTTTGTCATTATTGATGCTAGTCAAGTGGGACTGGGAGCAATATTTTTGCAGCAGCAGGATGACGAAGAGAAAAAGCCTGTCGCATACATTAGTAAAACACTAAGTGAAGTGGAGCGTAGATATTCCCAGATAGAACGGGAAGCTCTAGCCATTGTCTGGGCAGTGGAGCGTTTTCATAATTATCTATATGGTAATCCATTTACAATACTCACTGATAACAAACCGTTGTCAAGTATGTTTCGCCCGGACTCTAGGAAAATTTTACCTCCACGAATACAACGTTTAATTTGGAGATTATACAACCGTGTAAATACGAAATCAGACACGTGGCACGCCGAAATAATATCGCTGATTCGATATCCCGATTGCCTGCCGGGGATAGGGAGACTTCTTGTCTTTCGGAATTTTGTGATGAATATGTTCGTTTTGTGATGGAAACAAATAACGCTGATTTAGGAGTAATTTCTCTCTCGGATATAAGACGAGAGACAAAGAAAGATTCTGCTCTATCTAAAATATGTGAATGTGTTAAGAGTGGAAATTGGTTGGCTTATGCCAAAGACAAACAGGTTATGCTTTTGCGTAATGAAATATCAGTTCATGAAGACATACTTCTCAGGGGAAACCGGATAGTTTTACCTCTGTCACTGCAAAATGATATTTTGAAGTTAGCACATGAAACCCATATGGGTATTGTCAAAGCCAAACAATTGCTTAGACAAATGTTTTATGGGGTAGGAATGGATAAGGATATTGAGCAATTAGTTATAAGAACTGCGACGTTTGTATAATCAATCAGCCATTAAATGCAAATGTGCCTCTGCAAAATGTTGCATTACCTGAGGGCCCATGGAAAGGGTGCGCAGTAGACATTGTAGGTCCGATTGATGACAAATATATAGTCACGTATATTGATTACTATTCTTCTTACCCGGAAGCGGTCGTTGTTACAGATATTTCTAGTCAAAACATCATTAGAGTTTTGTCCTCGATATTCTATCGATTTGGGTATCCGGAAGAAATCGTCTCTGATAATGGCAAACAATTTGTAAGTTCGAAATTTCAGATTTTCCTTAAATCTTGCAGTATTAAACATGTGCGATGTAGTCCATATTATCCCAGAAGTAACGGAAAGATCGAGCGTTTTCATAGGTACCTTAAAAAGAATTTAAAGTCTGTCGTAGCGAAAGGCAAGTCGTGGGAAGATTCGATGAGTCAAATACTCATGGCTTATAGGTTTACTCCTCATTCAGGAAGCGGTGAATCTCCAGTTAAATTAATGTTTGGCAGAGAAATTCGAGCAAAGTTGCGGAAATTGATTTGGAATGTGGTAATTCAAATCGAAAGATAATGTTCACTTCAAATACAAAACTTATCAGGCACGTATGAAAAAATATCATGATAGGAAATGGCATGTATACGAGCATATAAGTTCAATGTAGGAGATAAGGTGTTCATAGTAAATAGAGCACAAGGTAAACTTGGATCGAAGTTCTCGGATATCCCATATGCTATTAAGGAGCGGGTAGGAAAAGATTCGTTTAAGGTAGTAAATATTTCAAATGGCAAAGTGTATGTTCGTAATCAAAAGCATTTTAAGCACATTTCAGAAAATAAGGAAAATAAATATAAAATTAATGATAGGGATAGCACATTGATGTAGAATTTGATGTTGATGATTCTGTAAATGATAGTGAGCTTGTTCCCGAAGAAAATAGTTCTAGTGATGTCGTAATTAAAGGGAAAATTAGTAAACAAAATTGTTAAAAATATTCCTAGTTTAGAAAATAAACAACAAGAAAAGAACGATAAATGGGTAACGACCAGATCAGGTCGTACTGTAAAGCCTAATAAAAAAAATTATTTCATATATTATACATGTAAATAGTTAGTAAGTACTTATAATTCGTAATAGAATTAACTAATCTAAATTCCAGGAGATATGTAGTGTAGTTAGTAGACTGGTTACGTATGACGTCACCACAGTAATGTATATAAGCGTGTGGTTATTCATTATTAAATGCATTATTGGTACATAGCAGTGACTTACGACACTACAATTACCGTAGACTCGTATTTTTCGAAAAGTCAGCGAACATTGGCCGAGAAGGCAACGAATAGGAAGGGAAGAAAGGGAGGGAACAACGGCGATTGCTAGATAGTATACTTCAAAATAAGGTTTCCATTTTTTTAACGAAAAAAAAAACTATCCTAACGCAAAATTAAACCCTAACCCTAATACTAACCCTAACTCTGTCCTAACCCAAACCTACACCCTAACATAACTTTAACCTATTTTCAAAATTGATATAAAAACGAAGGCCTTATTTTGAAGTATACTAACCAGCAATTGCTCCACCATAACACCCTATGACGGAAGTGAATAAATCCGGAAGACGCATTGACCATTATCGTCGATTTCGGTTCACTTTTCAAGACGCGGTTGCGAAGTTCGTTCCCAAGTTCCCAATTACGTTTCGAAGTTCGGAAGTTGGGCGGGAACTT